AAGGCCAATTTTATTTCATCTCTTGCCTCCCCTCCTTTGCCATACACTTAACCCCCACCCTGACCCTTTGGGTTATTTTGAAACAAATTTCAGACATTATATCATTTCATCTGTAAATACTTCAGTACATATCTCTAAAAGATAAGAAGATAAGAACTTTAAAAAAAATCACAATGCCATTTAAAAAAATAATTTCTTAAGGTCATCAAATATCCAGTCACTGTCTTATTTCCCCCAATTGTCTCAGGTTTCGTTTGTCTGTTTGTTTTATAGTTAGTTGGGTTTGTCCAAATCAGGATCCAAACAAGGTCTACACATAGCTTTGGTTGACACGGCTCTTAAATCTGTTTTGCTTTATGGCTTCTCCCTCCCTCTGCCCACCACTCCCCATCTACCATGCCCTGCACTAGGGGTACATTTTGAGACCATCTTTCCAAGCTGTAGTAAACATGCTGCTTTCTGATTTCTGGTAGTGACTCGTCTCTCCCAGTAAACAAATGGCAGCCTACTGGAGCCCCTCTTTAACGTTATCACTTTTTGAGGTATGCTTGAACTTGGGTCCATTTTCAAGGATCAAAATTTATCAAAGAAAGACACTCTGATTACTCACTGTACTGGAGGAGAGAGAAGTCAATTTCACACTACAGTTGATATCAAGTTTTTTAAAAGTCACTATTGGGGCACGGTTCTCGAATGTCAATAAGTATTTTGCTCCGTTGACACTGCCCTTGGTATCTCTTTTAAATAATAAATAGGAAACGAGAAAGCATTTCAACAGCAATTACACATCAGCTACATCATGGTGACCGTGGCCCTCCTTCCTAACCCTCCTTCGGTATTTTTTTTTATCTTTTGTTTTTGTTTTTTTTTTTTTCTTATTTTCTCTCTAGGAAGTGGGATAAAACTAATAGCTTCACAGGAAAATTCTCCCTGAGGCCTTTTCCCAAGTACTTCCCCAGCTGAGGCATCTCTGGGGAGGGTCGGTGTGAAGTGAAAACACAGGCAGTAACTGATATCTGTGAATTTATTTAGGTCATCATGATGCTATTAACTGTGGGGTTTTGACAGGATTGCTGTGAAATCTCCTCCCAAGACTGGCGTCACTTAGGACCCAGGAGGAAGCACATTCTAGGGCCCTGTTTACTTTTCAGCCCTGCCCCCTACCTTGGGCTTGCACTTCACCTCTGCACTTAACACCTGACCAGACAGAGTTGGGAAGGGGCGGAGGGGGTGCCCTCCACTTGGAGGTGTGAGCCTCATTACTGCTTTTCCTATGGTGCCTGCCTGGGATTTGTCTGGCATTGGAACACGCAAGGGTTCAAAGCAGATGGCACCTTTTCATGACTTGAGTCAATTAAGGAGAGAGTCCAAGCCCAAGCTGGCCTGGAAGGCCCAGCTGCCAGAAGGGCCTTGGAGAAGCAGCTGGACTAAAACTAGTAATTACCACCAGGAGCAATTTATGAAAATGTCAAGGCCAGCACAAACATGCTGACCCTCGTAAACCTTGAGGTGAACTTGGAGAAGTTGGCCCCCACCCTGCCTTCAGGATGGCAAAGGGAGAAGGAGGCTGATGGCTCCTTGCCAATTGGCGGGTCTTTCCAAATCCCCCTCATGCCTGGCTCCATTGTCCGAGCACCTCTCCTGAGGTAGCTCACCGCAGTGGATCAAACATCTGGGCCATCCACTTTTTCCTCGAGGTAGACCCTCTTTCCACACACAACTCCCTCCCATGATGAATGGAAGTGTAGCTACCAGAATGGGCTAAAGGGCTAAAGCCTGTGAGCCTAAAGGCCAAGCCCCTCTCCCCTGTGTGTACCTCTTGCCCTTCACACCTCCAACCTGCTCTCCGTTCCCAAAGGCACCATGCTCTTACACACCTTCTTGTCTTTGCTAATTTTGTCTCCTCTGCCTAGAAGCCTGTCTACTCCCTTCTTCTAGCAAAGTCCTACTCAGATGTCACCTCCTCTGCCTTTCTCTCCTGCTTCCTGAGACCCTGTAAGCTCTGCCCCCCCCCCCCCCCCCGCTGTGTTGTCACTGTTGGAAAGACACATGGTATCTCTTCCTCTGGACAACTTCTTTACCAGATTATAAACACCTAAAGAAGGGACCGTGCCCTGTTTATCTTTGAATTCCTAAAGCCTTGCTCAGTTTCTGAGCCATAGAAGGTACTCAATAAATGTCCCTTCACTGAATTTAATTGACCCTAACAACAGCCCAATAAAACTTATTACTTGGCTCCTCGGCATTGGCTCTCTTGCCAAAACTGTTCGCTTTTGGTTCCTTTCCAGTCGGTGGTGAACACTTGATCATTTCTGGCCCGCGAGATGCAGCTCCTCATGCAGCCTTGCCTTGCTGAGCCTCCTGTCGTGGGCCAGGCTGGAGCCTGAGCAGCCAACACCCGCACCAACTATAATAACCGCTACATGTCTCCCCTACCAACAGCGGCCAAGACTCAGGGCAAGGTGAGCGTGGCCACTGGAAAACACTCGGTCTTTGCCAGTTGATGGAGCCTTCTTTGGTCCCCTTCTGAAGTAGCAGGCAGCAGGTAGAATTACCCTTCCCTGGAACAGAGATGTCTGGTAGGATACGTCCCTCCCTCCCAACCAAACCACCTTTTCTTCCACATGCCTTTGCAATCTAGACGTCTGTCTCTCTTCCCTAGATCTCACCTTCTTGGGGTTGCTTTTCCAGCCTAAGAGGGCAAAGAATCATCTTGGAATGCTCTGAGTCCTGTGGGCAGTCGCACTGCTCTGGGGGGTGAGGGAAGACTGAAAACAGGTTCAACGCAACAAGCACTGGGTCCATAAGGCATTCTATTGAAAAATTAAAATAATGGAGAACATTTAGAATTGCAGCATGTCCGCATCAAAAAGGGCAGTAGGTAAGTGCCCAGGTGTCGTAGAAGCAACTTAGAGATCAATAAGCCCACACTCCCATGTTACAGACAGGAAACTGAGGCCAGGGGATGGGGTGTGGCTTGCCCAAGGTCACACAGCTGGCTCACACCGAGCCTGCTCCAGAAGGGGCTTTTTCCAGCTTCCATATGTAAGCTCAAGGACTTACTGGTAAAAATGGAGCCCAGGGGTTCCCAGCACCTCCTCCCCGCTCAATTGCTTTGAAGGGGGTTGCTTTTCTCATCTGTGGCCTATTTATTTGAAGTGTTCATCTATCCGCTCAGCAGCTGCAGAGCGTGCGTCCTGCCCCATGCACTGGACATGGTTCCACGTAAGCCACGGTTTCTAAACCTGCACCAGACTACCTGGAACGATTTTTTTTAAATACAGAATCCTGGTCCTCATATTGGTGTTTTCCATTTCAGGAGGATGGGCCTCAGAAAGCTGTAGTCTTGAACTCCTTCACGAGTTCTCCTATAAGGCAAAATCTCAGGACCATTAAGCCAACTGCCCTTTCTAGGTCCTTCCTAACCTGGATATTCTGTGCATGGGAGAAGTCACAAACCTTTTCAACTATAAATACCAGACTCAAGAAGCTGGAAACCAAGAGCTGGCTGAAGACAATTGCTCAGTGATCCAAAGGAAGGTTCCTATAATCATTGCAGACCCCTAGGAGAACACTTTTATTTGCTTTCTACACTGTCTTCACCCCAACTCCTGCTCATCTCTGAGCTGCCGGAAACACAGACTTATTTAATAGAATGCCTAAGAAAGCCTTGAATAAAATTTAAGTTAGATGTATGGGATTTCACTCCCTCACCTCTGATTCACTGGCAATCCATCATTCCTAATTTAAAAAAAAAAAAAAAGATACAGTCAGACGTATGGGTGTGTTATCTAGACTCCCAGCAAGAAAACAGGCATCCAGAGAGAATGTGAAAGTCACTCAAGGTCACCAACAGACTGCCTCCATCCATAGGGGAGCCCAGGACTTTTAACTCACTGACCACGAGGTGATGCTGTCCTATGGAATAAAGCAGCAGAAAGGAGACCTGTGACCCTGAATGACTCAGCCATTGCCCTGCAAGGTGAAGGTCGATTAATGCCTATGCACCATCTCTTCACCCATGACATGAGAGCGATAATGTTTGCCTCCATTTCAGGTGACAGAGCTGCTTAGAAAACACCGCAAGTATAAAAGTGTTAAGAGAAGACACGCTGCCTTTTCAAAATAACTCAGACATGATATTCCCCTTTAAGTGGTTGTGTTGAGTAAAATTTCCATCGAGATCCATACTACCGTGTGGATATAACTTGGGCTGAATGGGTGGCCTCAATCAGTGTGGCCAGTTCCATTTATAATTTATTGAAATCAGCCTAACGCCAAGATACAACTTTCTCAGGTCATTGATTTCTCTTAGTCTCCAGTCAAATCCAAAACCCTGTTATAGACCTTGCAGCATGGAAGGTGCCTCCATGGGAGAAGTCACAAACATTTTCAACTATAAACACCAGACTCAAGAAGCTGGAAACCAAGAGCTGGCTGGAGACAATTGAGGAAGGTTCCTATAATCATTGCAGATCCCTTGGAGAACACTTACGCTCTCTCTCTACACTGTCTTCGCCCCAACTCCTGCTAATCTCTGAGCTGTCGGAAACACAGACTTGTTTAATAGAATGCCTTAGAACTGAGAGCTTAAGAAAATCTTGAATAAAATTTAAGGTAGATGTATGGGATTTCAATGGCCACCATCTCCTGAGATTTAAGATCTGATGATGCTGAAATTGTTTTTGCAATTTATTATGTTCTTCCACTTCTGTGCACGTAATGCTCACGCTCAGAGGTCCCTACAGTTTCTCCATTGGTCTGTGGAACAAAAAGCTCTCGCTGATCTTCACATACATTAGTGGGAAGCTTCAGAGAGGATAAGTATGCAGAAATACAGGGGAAAGAAAGAGAGATTGGAACAAATGGAGCACTGGTACAGGGCAGAGAGAGCAAAATGGACACACCGTGAAACTATAAAGTCATGTATGGAAACCAGAGAAGAAAATGCAAAACCTGGGGAGGAGGAAGAGGAAGAGAGGAGAGAATAAGGTACCTACATTTCAAGGAATGCATACGCCAGGTAGGTGGTAAATGCAAGACACAGTTCTCTATTCCAGGTTGTTTTAAGTTGAGGCAGTAGGAGTAGAGGTGAAGCGTGACAGTTTTGCTGGGTGTGAGGAGGAGGAAAGTCACGCCTGCTGTGTGCTAACTGCCCAACGCAACCCTGGACCAAGGAAGCTGCAGTCATCCAGGCCAACCTGACAGACTAGAATCAATATGGTGGCACAGCTGGTTTCCAAGTCCACACAGAGTACAGGCCATGGTGTCACCTTGCGGAAGAAGAGAGAATTCCCAGTGGTCAAAACAAATGAGGATCTTTCCACAGAGTGGACTGGACACTTGAAGAGACTCCATGCTCAAGTTTGCCACCCAGAACAGATGAAGGCCTTCCGGGCTGGTGTGCAGAGGAAGGTCCTGAGGGTGAGAAAATTAGACCATATGCTTGGGCTCTTTGCAAAGCCAAGGTCTCCAGGAGAGATCATTTTGTCATTACACATAGCATATACTGAATGATCAATAAAGTGTAGCTAGCATTCTTCCAGAGTATTGCTTTCTGCACTGCCTTCTGCTTGGGTTTCTCATCAGCTCTGCTATCATTGTGTGCTCCCCCGTGTTCTCAGGCTTGTCTCACACAATAAGGGTTTCTTCTGACCATACCAGAGGGCCTTACCATGCATCCATCCATTCGTTCATCCTTCATGCATCTTTCTTTTATGCATTAGCAACTTTTCACTGTAACACCTCTTGAAAGTCATACCACTTGTGACTTCCTTCTCATATATATGTATAACAACTCTTCTACTCAAAAACTCACTAAATAATGAACAAGTACTATTTCTTCATCAGGGTTTCAAACAAAGACCACTCACCAATTTTCTTGACACAACACTTTATTGCGGGGAATATTACTTGGAACAAATTTGAATTGTAAGCCATGTTGGTATGAGCCCAAAACATTTTGTTGTATGTACATATGCCCCATGAGAGGACTGAGGAAGGGCAGCATCTATGACTCTGTGTCCTGTCATGTGCACACACTATTTCCATGTGTTTCCATGCACACACGTTTAACGTTTATTTTACCCTGGAAATATTTTTCTGGGCCATAATTTTATTTTTAACCCCGTGTGAATGCAGAAGTCACCAAAAGTTTATTTAAAAAAAGTAAGTACAAGAAAGTTTTAGTACATTGGTTTTCTGTAGAAACTGTATTGATTAAAATTCCAAATTGTGCTTATTTTTTATTTTTTTATTTTTTAAAATATTTTATTTTACTTATTTGACAGAGAGAGACACAGCGAGAGAGGGAACACAAACAGGGGGAATGGGAGAGGGAGAAGCAGGCTTCCCACCGAGCAGGGAGCCCGATACAGGGCTTGATCCCAGGACCCTGGGATCATGACCTGAGCCGAAGACAGACGTTTAATGACTGAGCCACCCAGGGGCCCCTGTGCTTTTTTTTTGTTAGTTAAGTAATCTCTACACCCAACGTGGAGCTCAAACTCAAGACCCCAAGATCAAGAGTCACGTGCTCTACCGACTGAGCCCCCCGCCCAGGTGCCCCAAATTGTGCTTAGTCTTTAATTTGTTGCCATTGTTCAATTGATACATTGTTCTACCGGTGAAAATTGTTTGGCATTTCAGGATGGGATATAACAGTTCTTCCCACTAAAATGAATAGAGGTTTGTTTGTTTTCCACATAACAGCTTTTCACTTAGTAGCAGAATTTTTAGTCCATTTTAAAGTCACTTAGTGGGGGGCACCTGGGTGGCTCAGTTGGTTGGGCGACTGCCTTCGGCTCAGGTCATGATCCTGGAGTCCCGGGATCGAGTCCTGCATCGGGCTCCCTGCTCAGCTGGGAGTCTGCTTCTCTCTCTGACCTTCCCCCCTCTCATGGTCTCTCTCTCTCTCTCTCATTCTCTCTCTCAAATAAATAAATAAAATCTAAAAAAAATAAAATAAAAAATAAAGTCACTTCGTGGAAGATGAGTATACTATGTTCAGGGCACCAAAGGAGGCACTAGAAAGCCAAAGATGAATTGAACCCTGATCCTGCCTCCAGCTCGTAATCCAATAAGAGACACTGATGGGTAAATGGACAACTTAGCAGTAGCAGTGAGATGAACGCTCTAGAGAAGGTGCAGGGAGTTTAGCGCAACCAGGAGAGGGGGAGTTCTCAGTGGACATGTGATTTCAAGGTTGGAGACTGTTCAGGGCTTTTGCTTCATCCTTCCTCTTTGAGCAAAGCAAAGGTACTTGTATCTTATCCCCTTAGTAATTTGCAAGTTTGCTTGTTAATCTGTAATGAAGTAATTCAAGGTGAGGAGTCCTCCAGCTGTCTGCTGGACAGCTCCATGGACACCTCGAACTCACTCTGTAGACAGAGAGGTATTCCTAAAATACAAGTCTCCTTCCAGGCTAAAGCCCTGAAGGGCTTGCTGTTGCCCTTAGGATCAAGGACCTATGGATATTCAAAGCCCGTGAAGAAGTGACTCATGCCTTCTTTCCCAGTGGAGCCTCCCCATGCTGAACTTCTTTCAGTTTCTTCCCCCCCATTTTTTATTTATTTATTTATTTATTTATTTATTTATTTATTTATTTGATGTGTTCCATGATTCATTGTTTGCATATAACACCCAGGGCTCCATGCAGAACGTGCCCTCTTTAATACCCATCACCAGGCTAACCCAACCCCCCACCCCCCTCCCCTCTAGAACCCTCAGTTTGTTTCTCAGAGTCCATCGTCTCTCATGGTTCATCCCCCCTCAGATTCCCCCCTTCATGTTTCCCTTCCTACTATCTTCTTTTTCTTTTTTTTTTTCCTCTTTAACATATAATGTATTGTTTCAGAGGCACAGGTCTGTGATTCATCGGTCTTGCACAGTTCACAGCACTCACCATAGCACATACCCTCCCCAGTGTCCATCACCCAGTCGCCCCAACCCTCCCACCCCCCACCACTTCTTTCAGTTTCTTGTAGGAGCTTAATCTCTCACCTCTGGACTTTGTGCTTGCTATTCCCTTTCCTAGAACATCCTTTTAGCCATTGACCCTCCTTCCTACCTAACTCCCCCTCAGCTTTGTTCTCTGTCTCTCCCTGATGCTCTAAGAGGATGAGGGACCCCTGTTATATTTTCTTTCATAGCACCCTTTAATTCCCCTGACCTAGCGCTAATCACACTGTATTTCAACTGATTAGTTTCCTCCCCTTGTGGGCTGTAGGACTGAGAAGGCAGGAGTCCTGGGTGTCCTGGTCAGTATTACATCCCTACTACCAATCCAGTGCTGGCATATAGTGGAGGCCCAATCTGCTGAAGAATGAATGAATGAATGAACTGCTTCCTTCATGAGTAACTGCAGCAAGTTACCTAGAGGCCTTAACTCAGGAAATAGGTCGTTAAGGACATTTTCGACAATGGTGGTAGGCATAGGGTAGGTGTATCTGAAAGGGCCTTATCCCAAAGTGGGCTCTTTTTTTTTTTTTTTAAGATTTTATTTATTCATTTGAGACACAGAGATAAAGAGAGAGAGAGAGAGAGAGAGAGCATAAGCAGGGGGAGAGACAGAGAGAGAGGGAGAAGCAGGCTCCATCCCAGAACTCTGGGATCACAACCTGAGCCGAAGGCAGCCGCTTAAGCATCTGAGCCACCCAGGCGCCCCCCAGAGTGGGCTCTTCTTGATCCCTAAAGGGCTGGAACACAGGTCTGGGCTCCCTATGAGGTTCCTCTTCTTCCTCTCAGGGTCACCCCCCCACCTCCCCAGGGACAGGGCCACACTCTGATCCTTGTTGTAATGTAACTACCCTCCCCAAATCTGAAGACCCGTCTCTGAATAGCTTCCCCATTCCCTTTCTGTTGGTGGGTTCTTCAGAGCCAATGTGAGCACTGCTGTCTGCTTCCACAAGCAGGTCTAGAAACCCGATCCCCAAGTGCTGCTGAGTGACCCACCATTTCCTCTGCACCAGTAAGTTATAGAAAGAACAATAAAAGATAAATTTAAGGATAGACCAGCTATACAAAAACAAAGCAATAATACATGAGTTTTGTGACAACAGATACACTCACCAGTCAGATCCATTTCCTCCTTTGGGGGGGGGGGGCGGGGAATGACACATTGGACCACAGGGAGGGTTTCTAATCAGACCCCCTGAGTTGGAAGAGCGGAGGACCAATTTGTTGACTTCTCTGCTCTTGTTTTTGCTACTGCTGGAGACTGTTGAGGGGAACTCTTGCAAACTTCCTTATCAACACCATAACGAATTTGTGGTTTCCCAGGCAACTCCCTACGTTGGCAAGTAACTCAAACTGGCATAAACTTTGTGAAGAGCAACTTGGCAAAATGTAGCAGCCCTGGTATTTTCCTCTCAGCTCCATTCTTGTCCCTCTGTGCTCTGCTCAGTAGGACCAATCACATAATTTGCAAGGCCAGTGCAAAACAAAAATGCAAGGCCCCTTGCTCAGAAAGTATTTCGCATTTCAAAACAGGGACAGCAGGGGGCTTCTCTAAGGACGGGGCTCCTTACAACTGCACAGATCCAATGTCCTTGATTCTGGCCCTGCTGTTCTGTCTCAGTTGGAGCTGGATGCTGCAAATGACTTTTCCAGATTTCTTTGCCATCTTGCTTCTGCTTAAGTTCAGTCAATGGGAGGCACGAGCGAGATGAGAGGGGCCCCTGGAAGGCACGAAGGAAGAAGGCATTTGTATACTTCTCTGCGTCCACCTATCCACTGACCAGCTATTCAATTTCTAAGGATTTACACTAAGGGTATAATCGAGGAGTTGGAGAAGATCTAGCCAAAATACTGTTCATTACAGTGTTTTCTGTAATAGCAGGACACTGGAAATAACCTAATTCCTAAATATCCAACAGTGCACCCAATAACAAGAATAAGATAAGAAAGGCAAATACTAATGGAACAGAATATAATATAAAAACCCAGAAATGTACTCAAAAATGAACAGAAATTTAGTATATGGCTAAAGCGGTATCTCAAATCAATACATAGCAAGGATGCTACAAGAAAGGCAGTTACAGACCAATATCCCTCATGAACATAATATAAAATACCTTAACCAAGTATTAGCAAATAGAATCAAGTAATATATAAAAAGGATAATAAGTCATGACCAAGTAGGGTTTACTCCAGAAATGCAAGCTTGACTTCAGGGTCAAAAATAAATTAATGTAATTCACTACATTAACAGAATAAAGACAAAAAAAAAAAAGCATACGATCATCCCCATAGATGTAGAAAAAGCACTTGTCAAAATTTATGATAAAAACCCTCACCAAACTAGGAATAGAAGGGTACTTTCTAAATGTGATAAAGGGCATCTACAACCTACAGCTAACATCATACTTAATGGTTACGGTTTCCTAGGCAACTCCAAGCACGGCAGAGCAGTTCAAATTGGTATCAACTTTGTGGAGAGTAATTTGGCAATGCAAGCCAGGCCATCATTTACCGATTAGCTCACGTGTAAGATCAAGAACAAGGCAAAGATGCCCACTCTCCCTACTTTAGCTAACATTTTGCTAGACGCTTTGGTAAGTACAATGAGGTTAAAAAAAAAGGAAGAAAAGGCATATTTTGAGATGACAAGACTGTAACATGTTAAAAAAATAAAATCAACACATGGGACTAGAACAACTGAATATCACTTAGAAAAAAATTAAAACGGGGTATATGCTTCACATATGACACCAGAAAAAATCACTAAGATCATAAACACCTGAGAGGAAGCCATGAGACACTTATTTCATAATAATATGGAAGGCATTTCTAATTATGAAATAACATCTAAAAGTACGGAAAACTGAAAAATACAACAGTAATATTAAAAACCCCTGCATGGCACAAACAATAAGTAAAGTTAAAAAGCAAGTGACAGGTTGGGGAAAATATTTGTGATCCGTACTCACAGATAGAAGGCTAATGTCCTAATATAGAAAGACTCTTTAGGGAGAAAGCTTATGGTTTTAAAGAAAAGGGGTAATAGCTATGGATAGAAAAAGAAATATCAAAAGCTCTCAATCACGTGAAAAGATACTCAACCCCACCTATAATGAGAAGCTGAAAATTAAAAGCCCCCTGAAATATCATTTTTATCAATCACATTGGCAAAGATCAAACATGTTTTCAACCAACTTGTTGATGAGGATGTGGAATAACATGCACTTCTGTACACTGACTTGTACAAAGTGTGGGGAAAGCTGTTTGACAGCTCCCAAAATTACAAGTGCAGGTCTCTTTTAATCCGGCGTTTCATTTCAAGAACTTTATCCTACGGCTACATTGCCCCAATGTGAAAGAAGGTTATTTATGGTAATAATTCTTGAAATTCCAAAAGACTCAAAGTAACCTAAATGCTGAGCAGCAGGGGACTTGTTAAATAAATTAAGGTGCATTTATATCGGAATTCTTTTTTTTTAAGATTTTATTTGTTAGAGAGAGCACAAAGCAGAGGTCGGCAGGCAGAGGGAGAAGCAGGCTCCCCGCTGAACGAGGGGCTCATCGCGGGGCTTGATGCCCTGGGATCATGATCATGACCTGAACCGAAGGCAGATGCTTAACCAACTGAGCCACCCAGGTGCCCTTATATCAGAATTCTATGGCAGCCCTTAAACATGAGGAAAATATATATATTGATCTGTAGTGATCGTCAAAACACATTATTAGGTTAATAAAGTAAGGTACAGGGGTGCCTAGATGGCACAGTCAGTTGAGCATCAGACTCTTGGTTCCTGCTCGGGTCCTGATCTCAGGGTCATGAGATGGAGCCCCACCTCGGGCTCCATGCTCAGTGCAGAGTCTGCTTGAGATTCTCTCTTTTTCTCCCTCAGTACCCCCTGCTCGTGCTCTCTCTCTCTTTCTAAAATAAATAAATAAATCTTTTTAAGAAATAAAGTAAGCCACAGAGCACCGTCTTGATATTAACTATTTGTGTATAATGTGAGCAAGAGATATGTATTTGCTTGGATATACAGAAAATATCTCAGGAAGGATTTATCCCCAAAAAAGGGCAGGGGGACGCGTGGGAGGGTAATATTTGGTTGCTTCTGAAAAAGGTAACAACAAAAGGGGCAGGGTTGAGAAAGAGATTTTTCTTATATAGCCTTTTATACTTTTTTAATGGAACCATGTGAATTTACTTATTCAAAAGATAAACTATCTTTTTAAATAGGTAGAAGAATGTAATGTGGAGTATGGAAAAAATTGACAGAAAACTGTTAGCTGAAAATGAGATTTTAAAAAGTATAGCCTGATCTCACTTTTATTTTTCCTAAACGTAGAGATGTAGGACACCTGGGTGGCTCAGTCTAGTGTCTGACTCTTGATTTCGGCTCAGGTCATGATCTCAGGGTCATGAGATCGAGACCCACGGTGGGCTCTGCGCTAAGTGTGGAGTCTGCTTATGATTCTCTCTCTCTCTCTCTCTCTCTCTCTCTCTGTTCCTCCCCCCAGGCTTGTGTGCATGCACTCTCGCTCTAAAAAAAAAAATGTAGAGATGTTTGTGACTAGGTTCACTTATGTCGTCTTATGCATCCATATGGGATCAGCCTGAGATTTGGACAGAGTTTATTATGCCCAGAATTTGGAACCCTTCCTCTCTAGCTCTTTTCTGAAATTTATTCCCTTACTTTCCAGCATGTGAGCGCCCCAAAACTTATCCTGTGGCTCTTCAAGCTAATAAAGCTGTTAGCTTTCTATCAATATTTTAACCATTTTATTTTATTTTTGAAGATTTTATTTATTTATTTATTTATTTATTTGAGAGAGAATGAGTGGGAGGCAGGGGCAGAGGGAGAGGGAGAAGCAGACTCCCCGCTGAGCAGGGAGTCCGATGCAAGGCTCATTCCCAGGATCCCACCATCATGACCTGAGCTGAGGGCAGAGGCTTAACCCATTGAGCCACCCAGGTGCCTCTATTTTAACCATTTTAAATGGTCCGAATTAGGATCTACCCTCAGTTCAAAAGCCATAATAAACAGGACATTCTCTTCATGTCATTTCTGCCTTCCATATGCCAACTCCTTTCCACTATCTGCCTGCTTTTGTTCACTCTCCAGGGACCTCGCGTAATTGTTTTTTACATTTTTGTCCAGAGTTTATCACTGTCATCTCTAAGAGGATTGGTCCAATAAAAGCTTACTCAGTCATACTGGACATAGACCCAAGAAATATTTCTAGCTCTTGGCCTTCTGGGCACCTAGAAAGATTTTGCTTTCTGTTCTCCTTATGGCTGGGAACGTGACATAGGAGATGTAAGTAGAAATTGTGACTTGAATGTTCCAAATGGTGCCTATTCCATCAACCTGGGTCTTAAATTAATAGAGACCCCAACCAATCCTTGTTTAAAATGTATTGTGAGCAAGAAACAAATCTATCGCAGCACGCTCTTGCCTACAAATATGCCCAACATTTTCACAAGTAGCCAAAATACTCTAGGGCAAGCCAAATACACAGTCATGCCCTTGCCCATCACCCTCACCTCTCCTTCAGCATGAGTCTGGAGTAGGGGAAGGGACCTGGGGGACCCATCTTGCTTCCCTACACAGAGGTGACCTCTGGAGATGTCACAAGCCAACGTGCTTCTCCACAGCTGGACTGCAGCCACAGCTTTTGCTTATTGGCGGGGCACAATAATGGAGAGCTTAGGAACAGGAACTCTGGACTCAGGAGTCCTGAGCTCAAATCCAAGCTTGGCTACGGTGGGAACTTGGCTTTGTCATTTGCCATCTCTAAACCTTAATCTCTTCATCTATCATCCAGGAGTGCCAAGACCACACAGTGCATGTTGGAGTGCCCGGCACATAGCCAGCACTCAAAAAAAAAACAAAAAACAAAACAAAACTATAGCTGTTGATCCCCTGTTTACTCAACACTCAGCAAATTTTACTGAAAGTTTATTACCTGCCAGGCACTGTTCTAGGCATGAAGACTACGTCAGCCAAAAAATAAAAAATAATAAAAAGAAAATACAAGGGCCAACAAACCAGTTTGTATTTAGCAGGAGACAGACAATAAACAACAAAGGTCAGAAGGAAGCAGACTGTGTAGCACGTCAGAATATAAGTGCCACAGGAAAAAAAGAAAACATAGGAATGAGCAATCACAGTTCTCTAAATAGAACAGCCAGGGTAGGTAGACCACTTTTAGAAGGAGACAGGGGAACAAAGACCTGAAGAGGGTGAGGGAGTGAGCCAAGCAGACCCCCCCTTTTTTTTTTTATAGATTTTATTTATTCATTTGAGAGAGAGAGCACGAGCCGTGGGGATGGGGTAGAGGGAGAGGGAGAAGCAGGCTCCCCGCTGAGCAGGGAGCCCAACACAGGGCTCCATCCCAGAACCCCAGGATCATGACCTGAGCCAAAGGCAGACGCTCAACCGACTGAGCCACCCAGGCGCCGCAGGCAGAGCCCTCTTGGAGAAGAGGTTCCAGGTAGAAGGAGCATGGATAAGGACTTGGATAGTTACTCCAAGTGAGATGGGGAGCACTGTGGAGGTCTGAGCAGAGGAGTGATGTGACCTGACATGGGTGTCAAGGAGAGCACTCTGGCAGTCGTGTTGAGAAAAAAAAGAAGCCAGGGCTCGGCGGCGGGAGCTCGGAGAGCAGCTGGAAGGCTACAGCAGTTAGCAGCCCAAGAGACGAAGGTGGTTGTGAAAGTGAC